CCCGGAGGCAGCATTTTCATTTTTTCCTCCGGACTGTTTCTTGCCTTCCAGTCTTTTTTAAAATCCTGTTTTCCATATAACTCCTCTTTCCCTTGTACAGCAATGAATACAAAATTTGTCTTTACTCCTTCTCTCATGCCACAAACTCTCACTGCTAGAAGGTTGTTATCCTCTCCTCCCTTTTCAGCAGCAGATATCAAAATTCTCCTCTCTTATTCCTATACCTTCTTCTACAAAAGTCTGAATTGCAGCTGTATTAAATTTAAAATGTTGGAGTATGTCTCCCATGGCAAAATTGAGAAAGGAAAATTCTATATAGGAAAATTCTCACAATCTTCCTTGCATGCTTTTTTGGTAGCAATGGAATTCAGTTTTTCCCCCAACGAACATAAGCTGCTTCTCCAAGCAGTGGGAATCCCCTGAGAAAGGGGAAACAGGATCTGCATGTGGCCTCGGAGCCCCATCCTCCCGCAGCACAGAACAAGAGCAGCACATGGTAAGAATTAAGCAACTGCTGAAACTCAGAAGGTTATTGTGCATTCAGAATTATCATCCCTTGGGCATATTTCTAATCTCCCATAGGCATCTTTTCTTGGGAAATTAAGCACTACAACATCTCCAAGCCTGAAGTTTTTAAATCAAATTCTCTACCAAACATGCTTTAGCTCCATCCTGAGCTGATGAAGAAACTGTCAGCCTGGTGTTATCATGATTATAAGTGTTTCCTTGGATCACAGATCTAGACATCTTTACTCTCTTTGCTTAAGTCCTACTCACTTCCTTATTTTAGATCAAAAGAACAAACTGTGCTTCACATCTAAGCATGAAAAAAGATTCTTACTTTGTTTATGAGATTCAAAATATTTTACAGAATTTCAACATGTAATCAATGGTCTTGGCAATGACAGAGGAGTCACAAGCCTTGGAAGTAATATATCCATGTGGCAAACAAGGGATGTGTGTGCTAATTACAGCAATGAAAACATAGAACTGCAGCAGAAATAGCTCAGTTTATTCAAAAGTCATTTAATGATAGAAACACGGAATAATTTGAGTTGGAAGGGACCTTTAAAGATCAACTAGTCCAACTCCCCTGCAATGATTAGGGACACCTACAGCTTGACCAGGTTTCTCAGACCTCTGTCCAGCCTGATCTTGAGTGTCTCCAGGGATGGGGGATCCACCACGTCTCTGGGCAACTTGCACCAGTTCTTCACTACCCTTACTGTAAAAAACTTTTTCATTATATCCAGTCTAAATATCCCCTGTTTTAGTTTGAAACCATTTCTCACCATTTGAATGGTTTGAAACCATAGCCCTATCCCAGCAGAGCCTACTAAAAAGTCTGCATCTTCTGTTTTATAGTCTCCCTTTGGATACAGAAAAATATGCACAAAAAGATGAAGGAGAGCTTTCTTGGTGAAGTAAGGGCAGAAGACAGCAGAGTAAAGGCAGAGAAATATGCACCGCATAGCCACAGCCAAAGCTTACACTTCTGGGGGCCTGCCAGTCAGACCATAAGGTGTTCTTACACACCATGGAGCCAAAGAAAGGGCTTGGTGGACTCTGCCCTTTTTACCCTCACATTAGGTGCAAGCGGCTGATTAAACAGAACAGAGAGCTAAGCACTGATTATAAACCAGATGTTTATTTATCAAGCTTACTGCTGCTAGGAGCTGAGTGAGAACAGGAACAGGTCCAGCAGGGCATTCGGTACACTTCAGGGGAGAAAGCCTTTGCTGCTAGACCCTAGAACCTTCTGCAATATTGTGCTTCATGTATACGTGACTCATGCCACTACGGCCCTTGTACAGGAGGACCTGGCTCCAATACAAATGTACTGCTCCGTATAATGGGCACATTGTGTGTGGCTGCCAGGGCAGCACTCCACCTGCATCCCCAGCAGTGCTCCTGGCTGTTGGTGAGGAGGCAGAGGCCGTTATCAGAGCAATTACCACAACCGCTTAGCACCACCGCTTCCTGCACTCAGTGAGTCTATCTCCTAGTGACACGTGCACAATTAATCCCATTGCCACATCTAAACTCCCCTCCATTCCGATTGCGGGAGGCCCAGCCCTTTGCTGAGCAGTCACAGCAGGGCCCCTCGCTCACTGCGCAACTCACTGCCATGCAGACAAGGCTGCAAGGCCTCAGTAACAGCCAGGCCCGCAGGTACAGGGCCGCAGTGACCACCACGGTTGCAGCTACAGGGTCACAGTGATGGCTGTGGCAATGGGTACAGAAGTATGGGCAATGGGTACAGGGCAGAGAAGCCTGGGGCTCTCAGAATGGGTGCAGGTGCAACAGCCTGGTGGAGGTCAAAAAGGCTGCCTGCTGTTTCCAGCTCCTTTACTATCCCTGGAAAAATTGCCTTGGTGTTCTGTTTTCACTTCAATCTTCTATCTGCCTTTTGCATTTAGATTCTTATTTTTCACCTTGGGTTTATGGTGTGGTTGTTGGTTTGTTTTATTTTTAGTTTGGAAAGAAAAACAGCTGTTCTAGGTAGGGTTGGAGCATTTTGAAGAGGGAAAGAAAGCAGAAAAAGAGGGACAGAAGGAGAAAGAAAGTACTCGTTACCGGTAACAAAGTGTGTTGGGAAGAGAAGCAGTACTGATCAATGAACACTCAATGAGGCTGAGATTTCCAGTGTAGTGTGAACAAGGAACAGGGAAAGGATTTGTGTTAGGAAGAGATGAAATAATTAATAGGATGGAGTTGGGAAGCAGTGATGCTCCAGCCTGCTGGCCAGTGGGTTGGCATCTGGGGGCCAGTGTGCAGAACATCCCCAAGCTTAGAGGCATGCAGTTGGCAGGGGATGTTCACTCACAGCCCCAGCAGCAGCTCCACAGCCCCCATTCATGCAGACTTACACATGCAGTGCTGGAAGAAATCTAGCTTGGGATTCCTAGCTATTTCTGTAAAAGTCGTAACAAAACATGTTATCTGCAAGGCAAGGTGTGGATACAGATGGATTACTCCACAAGACAGCCTGATCATGTTGATAATATTATAATAATGAAAACATTTTTGCATATGTATAAAATGAGGCAGTGACAACTGGCCAGAGAATCTCCAACTACCACCTGCACAACAGCGGTGCTCCGCCAACCACTACCGCTTTTCTGTGACAGGAGGCTCTCTTTTGCCAATGGCTCTGATTAAAAGACAGCTAGACAGAATTAAAGCATAGTCCTTAATGGACTTTTATAGCCAAACTCCAGTAGGTATAAAAGATAACTCTATGTAATTAAATCAGCTGTATTGACCAAGTAATATAATTTTCTTAATAAACTGTAAATAACTTGAAAGCAATAACTAAAATGTTAAAATATTTTTCTGATTATTTAGGTATGATTTTTTCAAGAAAATGATATGTGGATATTCATACAAGCAAACAGTATTTAACAAACTATTCTGTTGTTTCTGTTGCAATCTCTGGGGATATCACTTGGCTGGCTCTCCCGGGACTGTCTGTTCTACAGCACAGACATTTACTTCTTGCACTGCTCACAGAAAATGAACATACATTACCCATAAAATGAAAGGCATCATTACCAAATGACAGTGCTTATTGTTTCCTAAGGACAACCCAACATGAAGAAATGAGGAAAAAATGAATATTATTTTAATATAATTAAGTCAATTATATCAAATTAATTTAAGCTAACTGAAGTAATACAATTTTGGTATTTTCCAATTACTGTATTGGTTTGACGTGTGCAAGTACATGGAGAAGAATCAACAACTTACATCCAAATCTTGTAACAAAGAACCACAGTGTCTCAGACTTACTGACAAAAAAATAGCTAACACAACAACAAATCCAGCGATATCAAACCGATTGGTGCACACACTAAGGGAATACACATCATGTCATACTCGGTTCCCCAGCATCACACGGCACTGGTCCCCAAGCCTAACAGAGACCCACACACCTCTGATTGTGCTCTATTGAGCCTTTAAAATCTTTCTTTGCTTCATCCCCTCTATGCAGATATGTTCACTCGCTCGCACAGATGTTGCATATACCACAATATGGTGATGTCACATTAAATATTTTGACATCATCTGTGATCGTGTCTGTTGGCTCAGATGCCTCCAGAACTTTTTCTGACATCCTCAGTACTTCAGAAGTGCTGGAAAATAGCAAATGGTGTTCGTGCACACCTGCACTCTCTAAACACAGTCCAGAAAGCAGCCAAATAATTCTTTTCAGCCATTTGGGAGGTTTCTCCTGACAGTTTCCTATTGCACAGTGCAGCCAGCCACTGGCAACCTGTTGCACAGATGTCTGAGCCGAGCGCTGTGGCAGGCTAGAAGCAGCTCACTGCACAGCTCTATTTACTCCTTGCAGACTTGGCAAGCCATGGCAGTGAGAATGGAGGACGTTTGCCACTGCTTGGCTGCAATACATCACAGTGCACATGTACTTGCTATTTGTATATTCTGGCAAAATGGCCTTTAGTTCCCTTCAAGAAGGAGGTATGCCTTACCTAAAAGTAATTTCTCCCCAGTGGTATTCAAATTTATTATATTTTTGGCAGATCACTATCCATCCTGCATTTACTTTTATTTCATGAAACATACCATTTTTAAGGTTTGATTTTATGGCAGCTTGTTTCTCTGCTCCTGCCAGTATTAATAATGTAACACAACTGCTGCAACATATGGCTTCTGGGCTCTTTATCACTGATCGTGCATGTTATTTATTTTCCACTTCATTTGCCCAGTGTTTGCTTTTGATGAAGCTGCTTTGAAAGCGGCCTACCATTTCCATTTCATTTTCTAAGACTATTTAACCAGTTTTAAAATTACAGCTGTACCAGCATTAAGACCTGGCAGTTATGGTAAGAGACTACATCCTGGGCAGCTGTACTGCCTATAAGAACAACCACTAAAGAACAGGCTGTGCCTACATATGGCAGAAGTACTGTGTTTCTTTTTTAAGTGCTGCTAGTACAGGAAAAGAGGGAAAAAAAATGATTATCAATTTGTAGTACCTTTAGTTGGAGACATCATGGCAGCCCACAGTTCCTCACAGGGAGCAGAAGGGCAGCGCTGAGCTCCACTCTGTGTAACGGTGACAGGGCCCGAGGGAACGGCATGGAGCTGTGTGAGGGGAGGGGCAGCTGGGGGTCAGGGAATGCACCAGAGGGCGGTGGGCATGGAAGAGGCTGCACAGGGCTGTGGGCACGGCCCAGAGTGCTGGAGTTCGAGGAGCGTCTGGACGCTGCTCTCGGACAATGCTCTGAGATAAGGTTTGGATTTGGGGTGGTCCTGTCCGGAGCCAGGCGCTCTACTCAATGATCTTTGTGGGTTCCTTCCAACTTGGGATATTCTACAATACCCAAAATGAGCAGCAGCAGTAGCAGGTTAGTTATAGAGGAACAGCAATTGACTGTGAGCTGTGATCACGTGGCTTACACCTCTTTGATATTTTGCCCCTAAAAACAGGAGTCCTTCAAGAACCTAAGTCACACGTGAGCACGTGCTGAGTACCAGCAAGCTGGAGCCACGGGACGCGGCAGTTGTACTTTTCCCGTGGCACGCGAAGTGACGCCGACCCCTCGCCGGTGCCTCCCACCCACTTGGGACGCTGCACACGGGCGAAGCGTGGGGACAAGCGGACCTCCAGCCCGGAGATCGCGTGGCTGGGAGAGCCGCCGCCCCGACGGCAGAAGCTTCAGCGGCGCGGGAGCAGGAGCGCTAATCGGACCCCACCAAATAAGGCGATGGCGGCTGCCACGAGGGGTGGCGGGGGGCAACGGGGACACGGGCGCTCCTCGTAGCGCTGCGCCGGGCGGAGCTTTTCCCGTCCCGCGGACGCGCACGGGGCGGTGCGGCACTACGCGAGCAGCGCTCCGGGCGGCGCAGCCGCCGCCACCACAAGCGGCCAGGCCGGGTCCCCGCTGCCCCTGAAGCGCCCTTCCCTCGCTCCCTACCCCCAGCCGCAGCCCGGAGCGCTCCTCCCCGCCCAGGGCTTGACGGCAGCGGGGAGGAATGTATTTCCGGGGCGGGCAAAAAAGCGGCTGAACGCGGACCTTCCCCTCCCCTCCTTTTTCCACCGCCGCGCGCGCCGGGCTCCCCCCGCCCCCACCCCTGAGCGGCGCGGAGGTAGCGGGCGGTCCGCAGACGGGCGGAAGGACGCGGAGCGAGGCCACGCCGCGCCCAGCGCAGCTCCCGGGGTAGAGCCGGAGCCGGGCGGGCCGGAGCGCGCCCCCTGGCAGGAGCGGCGCCGCGGCCATGGCCGAGGTAGCGGGAGGACGGGGCGGGGGTTGGAGTGGGGAGCGGGCTGAGCGCTGCCCGCCTTGGCGCCGGGGCGGGAGAAGAGCGCGGCTCGTCGCGGTGCCTCGCGGTGCCACCAGCCTCGTCCCGCTGCGGGTCGGCCTGCCTTGGGCTCGGGGGCCGGCGCTGCGGTCGGGCTGGAAGGTGGCGCGCCCGGCCCGCGGCTTCCTGTGGCGGCGGGACGGCGGGTCGGGCCTCCCGGGTCGGAACGGCCCTTTGTCCGCCCGGAGCCCGGCGGGGAAAGTTTAACGCCACTTCGGTGCCGGGCTGCCGGGGCGACAGTGGGGCCCTGTGACGGCGTCGGGGCAAGGAGTTACGGGAATAGGGTCAGGAAGAGTGAGTCGGTGTAGGAAAGTGGATGTCTGTCTTAAGGTTTTTGACCTGCACGGGGCTATCGAAACTGGCAGATGTTAGAAGGGCTGTGTGATCGTAATGCAGCGTTTCCACTTCTAGATACACTCAACTTTGTGCCTGTTTTGCTGTTAGTTGGCTGTGAGCATGGGCAGCTCTTTAGAAGCTTACCTCGGGATGAAGTGGGAACGTGAGGCCTCTGAGCACCGTCTGGTTCACGTGGTGATTTCTGAAGTGGCCTAAAACAACCGGAGCACCGCGTTCTGTCTGGTGCGGCCCCCTGATGTGCAGATGATCGGATGGGAAGTTACTCCCCGACTCACTGGTTAGGTTGTGTTTAGACTCAATGTCAGATGTCTTTATCTAGTAGAACTTTGTCTGACCGCCTGTCGGATTCATCCGCTCAACTTGTGACTGCTTTTCTTTATGAAAAAAATCAAACATTTCTTCACTTCTGGGTTTGTCCGTGATATTATCCAACCCATTCATGCCAGCACACGTGCACATACCTGATGGGTGAAAATGTGGATTTTCTGTTTGATTTGCTTCTGGTGCTACAGTCCTGTTGTTGCCAACACACTCAAACCTTGGGAGGAGGACTCATCTCCGTTCAGGTCAGTGGAACCACGCTGGCTTAACTGCACGTGCTTAAGTGCAGACATGGAGTTGGGCTTTACATAGGTGAGAGCAGTTTGGAGTCATCTGTGCTCCTTGCACATTAACCACCTGGTAGGTGAGGTAGATGGGGGGGGAAGGTTGGTTGTTGGTTTCCTACTGTGAAATGAGATGACTTGGTGGCAATTTATTTAAAAGAGCTGTTTTGCTTCTAGAAGGACTTAGATGAAGTCAAACAAGACTCACCATTGTGAAGACCTTCATTGTGTGCATCCATCGCAGTGATGAAACTGATGATTCATTGTCCTGTCGCTAAAAAATATTCTTTGCCTCTGGCAGATGATTAAGTACCATTTTGCAAGCCTGCCTAGAGCTCTATTTTTCAGGGTTGCAAAAGCAATGAGCTGTTGGCAACACACAGGCAAGACAAGGCGTGTTCACCAGGAGAGCACCACCTTCAGCCATTGTCCTTTTCAAAAGTGTTTCATGTGGTGGAAGGCGCGCACCCAGCAGGCTGGTAGGGTGAGAGTATGCCTTAGTCAAAGCTGGTCTGGGAGTGCTGTGCCACCCAGGGGATAAATAAACTCATTTCAGCAGTGAAACTCAGAGTTACAAACCTGGTGTTCCTTCTAAGTGCAGCCAGGGAGACCTGCACATGTATTTGTCTGACCCTGCATAGTGTTCCCAGTCATTTGAAGGATGAATTTGGAGGGACAGAAGTTTTTCTCTAGAGTATTCATGATGTTCTGATGTGAGTGCAGAATTCCAGTGTTGGTCTTGCTGAGCTTTAAGTGACTCAAGTGGTTAATGTTCTGCCACTTCCTTTGGGAAGTGATTCCCACAGCTGAACACAAACTGTCCGGAAACTTTTCCTGCTGTTCTTTCTTTCTTGGTCCGTGTTTTCATCCCACAGCTCTCAGCCGTCCTCCTGAAACTTCATGTAGGGTAGCTGCTTTCATGCTGTTCTAAAAAGAGCGCATCTGCTGGAACTGAGCAAGTGGATAGCTTGGGTAGCGGAAAGGCAAGCTCAGAGGGAACAGTGCTCTCCAGGGCTGGCACATGCTGTGTGCTGTGTTACCCTGAATACCGTTTCCGCACTGCCTCTGGTATGAATGCTCTTCAGTTGTTTGTAAATAGTTGTCATGCCTCCCTTTTCCCATCTGGATTTGGCTGAGTGGTGTGCATGGACCCGCCTGCTGCAGGCTCCACGCTGTCCAGGTCTCAGCACTGTGGCCTTCAAAGGTTGTTCTGGCTGTGTTAAGGATGGCTGGAGTACCTGTGCTGCAGTGTGGCCTTTTTTGACTCCCCCTTCCTTCCTGGTGCTAGGAGGTGGGCTTCTTCAGTAGAAGCACTGCACACCCGTGCACAGTGCCTGGAGCTGCTCATTTCACCATCACAAGTAGGAGGCTGATTCACAGACTTGGGAGAGACCCACAGGAATCGTGGAGCCCAGTTCCTGGCTCCACACAGGACCACCCAACATTTAAACCACGTGTCTGGATGCTGAGCTGCACTGCCTTCAGTTCCATACAAGCTCAGGGAAAGTGCTGCACCCAACATGTGGTTTGGGGAATGGACATTAGTGGGACGAGCAGAGGCAGCATGGACCATTGCCAGTAATTGATATACCCTGCCTCCTCATCCTCACTGTCCCTTTCCAGATGCATTTTGTACTTCTTCCAAATGAGAGCTGCTGTGAGACACTCAGACATTGCAGAATTACTGTTAAAATGGCATTTTATTTATTTATTTATTTCCATGTTAATTAAGTGTGGCAAGCTAGCTGGCATTGAGATCTATCATGCCTTTTCACATGGCATTTGGAAGAGACAGTGGTTAGAGCCAGAAAAGAGGGAATCCAGGCTTGGCAGTAGTGGAGCCTATTCTGCTGTCATTCTCCCTTCTGGAATTTCGGATGATGTATGTGTGTATTTGCTTATTTACTTACTCATTTATTAGGCTGGCCATTCCTTTTGTCAAACTCTTTGTATTTAGGAGCTGTAATGATTCTTGGAATGTAGGGGAAAAAATTCACTGGTAGAGATCATAAAGCAATTACATAGATTTTTAAGAATTATTTGGTTAAGGCAGTGTATAGATAGATGTTTTAAATTGTCTTTTTAGAAGTACTATAATGTACGTAACTATATATGTACTATTGTCTTAGGTGTTTTCATGCCATCCACCACTTTCTGTGCCCCTGCTGAAATTTCTATCTCCCACTGGTAGAAAGCTCAGAGTTGGGTCTGTATTTTTCTGTCTCTCACTTCCCTGTGCTGACTGTGTGCTTGTCTCTACTCTGCCTTGATTTAAGACATTTCCTAGTGCTAGTGTTCTCATTAGGGGTTCTAACATTGCTGATCCGGTGTTTACGTACTTCAGAGCCATGTACATGAGCACGTATATCTTAAGACAGTACTTAAAAAAGAGGCTGTAGCATAGGGGACACAGAGCTGTTATTACTGCAGAGGGTTTTTGTTATTTTTCAAAAGAATGTGAGAGACTCATGAAATTTCAGGAGGACAGTAGATGAACACTTTCTGCATTGTGGGCTTGTGTTGGCAATATCTTGCCCAGATGTAGGACTCCTTTTGTGACAAAAGAGTTGAAGTTGGCCAGTTTGTTCTAATAATAATTCATGACATCTCTTAATTGGCCAGTATAATGTCACTTTTTTTCTGTGTAGTTGTTCTTCTCTCTGCCTTGCTCAGTTTTGTTCTGTATTCTGTTGCAAACTTTCTAGAGAGGGTAACCACAGCTGACCACAACATTGCCCAGTGCCTGTGAGTTGTCCTGGTTATGGACGTACTGGGAGTGGCCATACAGAGTCATTTGCTGTCCTCAGAAATGGGAAGTCAGCTCCTACTTCTTGTTGGTTGTAGTTTGTGGGGTTCTTTTCCTCCTCCAATTTCTCCTCCATAGGCATAGCCTGGTAACCTAAACTGCTGCGATCTTAAGTCCAGATGAATTTCCAATGAGACTTCTCTCTAAATGTGCTTTCTTCCTCCAGGGATGAGTAGTAGAAGTATCAGAAAAATATATGTCCAGCTTCACTGTGAGAAAACAATGTGTTTAGCTGCGTGAGTTTCTAGCCTGATGTAAAACGTGTATCAGCTTGCTTAATAGCTTATTTTGGAAATGTCATGCAGAGAAAATGAAAATTCTGACTTCTGTGAATGAAGAAGTGGCAGCAGGCACCTCACTATGTATCACTAAATGATACCGCTGTGTTTTTCACTATTAAGAGTTTTCTCTGTAGAAAATCGTTACTAAACATACTGTATTTTTTTAATAACCCCCTTCTCTTACTTTTCTGCTCTTAAAATAATTAGAATGATTCTGTGGGCTTTCTGGGGCTTTTTGTTCTCCTGTTAACAAACTGAAGTTCTTTTAGACTGGGAGAGATGGAGGAGTCACTATTTGAGTACCAACTTTGCATAAAAGCAGGCAAGTGGCTTTGTGAGACTGTAATACTGATGCTTACTTTTAGGAAGGTAATAGGTTTCTACGTGACCTGTAATCGTCTTTGAGACAGAAGGACCTTTTTGTGTATTACAGCAATCATTTTGTCTCTATCTTTTTCAGTTTACTAATTTACTAATGACTTCAAAAAGGCTTATGAAATATATTTTCTGTCTTAAAAGTGTTTTTTTTTTTGTTTTTTTTTTTTTAGTCAACAGCAGTGAGACATCATTAGTATTCTTGTGGTTTTTTTTAGTGGGAGAAGTTTCGAGTAG